TCAGCCATCAGCTAGCTATAACTAACGTGATGCCATAGGACAAATACCACATAAATTACATGAAAAGCAAGTTAAAATCAAACAGTTCGGAGGCAGACAATTTTTTTATGGTCAACACCCATCAGCAGTACGCCTATGAAAAGACTGATAGGATACAAATTATGTAAGAATTCCTATTCATTTGAAAAAGGAAATATTCACCCCTGCCAAAAATAAGTTTCAAACAGGACGTAATTTCCTGCGAAAGACATACATGTCCTTCTAGGAGATAGAAAGGCAAGCAAGTACTGAGCAAATACGTACTGTCCAAACATTACTTTTAGAATACGGCATATAGCAGCAACTGGGCACATACTTAGCTACAAGCCAGCATATTGCTAGGTGTGAATTACCTGACAGTTATAATCCAATCGGACTTCCAGGGTGCCTAACAGATTGTTTCAGCGTACTTAATTTAAATGTCTTTTCTTTAATAGGTTGCGGGGAGCACACAGACAAACAACCAAGATCTCTCATTAAGTCGAATAGTGCAGATTAGACACCGTCAGATAAATAATTGCTGAATGCATAATTATCGATCAATGAGTGTTGCTCGCCTTTCAAACAATACTCTAGAGAGCGGTAAAAAGGGGAATAGTATAGGTTACCTTGGGTTAACTTCCGATAAAGGTTAATATGTCCTTGTTCTTACTCCAACCATAAACCTAAAATTAAAGCCGATCCTAAATGTACCTTAACCTTGAGACAATCATGAACGCTAATTTTAATTTCCTTGGGATTTAACGCAATGCCACCTTATTAGAGGAGCTTTCATCTCCTTATTTTACCAGAGAAACTTCATATGTGGTCAAGATATCGAGATCCCTTTTTTCTGAATTTTCGTTTAATTTGTTAGCAGGTTCACCCAATCCTGTAAGAGTAGTCAGTTAAACTTGAAATATTTTTAACCTAATAGTTCTTTAATGATACCATTGACTGCATCGTTTACCAGCCATTGCTTAGCTATTTTACCACTATCTCTCGCTTGTACGTACGGCACAAAAGTTGGACACTGGGCACTTAGGATTCTTTGATATACACACAGACATGCAGACCTCAACCCGCTGACCCCGAGAACATCCTCCTGTCTTCTCTGCGCAACGCAACCAACGTCCTGCACGCGCTGGCGCCCGCATTCAGGAGACGAGGGAAAATCCAGATGCTTAATTTTACCCACCCACCTATCAACTCCCTCCCTCCAACTTGACGATCATATAAAGGCTTCAATTATCTGACCATTTTTATTATCCATGTCACTGCACCGGCCTGATGATGAATGATTGAAAACAATTGGTTGCAAATATGATCTCTCAATCTAATCACGTTTACAGTTAAATTTAGCCTGTCTTGCAGTTAAGTATCAAAACTTCATAAAGCAACAGTAAGTTATACAAGCCAGATCTTCTGCGGGTGATATTTTTGCCTTATCTGTAGAACGTTATTATAAGCAAATGAAAACGAAGGTTATTATGAGACCATCGTAGGCAAAGTCATTTTCTACTTGGCGTATGAGAATTAAACGGATATATTTACGCCGCCAGTAAACTTTGGATCGTCGTCTTATGCTATTATCCTGGCTTTAAAATCATCGCGCAAGTTCTAAGATGATTGATGTGCTCTAAAGGCTCCGTTTAGAAGCGAAAACTTATGTCTCAAATCACCTCTCTCCGTAAGGTTTCCCGCTTTGTCCAGTTCCAGGTTAATCATTGAAAACCCAAACAAGAAGCCGTCGTTAATTCCTAACGCTTGAAGCCACGTAAACCAAAGCTAATCGGCATTCCCAAGGATTATATCAGATAAGGGCAAACGTTCTGCCGTATATATAACATTTTACAAAATTTATTAAGCAAATCTGCGTCTTGCTTTTGGAAGCAAATTGTAATAGCCACTATTCTTCAAAATAAAATCCATCATTCCCAAAAATTTTCTGCCACCAATTGGCATACTTTTGCATACTCTTCTTACGTCTTCCACTTCATTAAATACCTCTAATAGACAAAATTGCAAGAAGTAATGCATTAATATCACAATGCGCTTTGTAAGCAATCGTTCAAAGGATATTGCAATAACCGACGACAAAGTTCAGTGGACTGGTTGGTTTTCGCTGCGGCCAGCTCATGCGAGTCTTAATGAGACTTCGAATGGAACAATTCAAATTTATTCAAATGTCCCAAGACCGTTTGATGACCCACTCTGTGCAATGCTCCCAAATAACGACTGCTCCATGACAATTGTGGTCAAGAATGGAAAGCAAGTCATCATTTTTCAATCATACAAGTCGACCGGAACGAGACTTTCCTTCCATATGAATATCGCCAAAAACGACACGCTTATATAAACGAAAAATGGTTGTTTTGAGGACGGATGTTTCGCCGCTGGCATCGTAATTCTCCCTGGCACCTTGCCTATTCGAAAGCCCTCGTTTCCACTACTGGCAAATAAGAATTCGAAGTTTAGTTTTGTTCAAACTTTGGAGCAGGTTATATCGGTTGCATGAGTCAGCACTCATCCAAAAGTATACGGGGCACTTCCCGGCATGTTTAAGCAAAGGTTAAATCAGGAACATAAACAGTGTCATTCTCGCCCATATGGTTGATTTCGGACATCGTGTGAACTCCAGTGAAGCCTTCGAGGTGATTTATAAGGTCCCACCAAACTATCCAAACTCCCTGGGTAAGCGTTTGCTAGCAACAGCAGAAGCAACTGCTATCCGGTCGAGGAATCCCGTATCGTGCACGCAAGAGCACCTCCTGCAAGCAACAAGCTTGACATGACCAACGGTCACATAACTATCTGCCTCATTTTGTACTTGCCTTCTCTCCCCCCCCTTCCGCCTACCGCGTAAGCAGCCGCCCATTATCAACCCCCAACACACCCCCCATTCCCGTGACTAATTTGCATGTATTTATGAACTTTACTGCCCGCATGTTTACCGTTTACCCTCTCCCCATGTAAATGTAATGGCTCAATGAGAATTTAACAAAAGCCCATCTATGCCCTTTAAATACTATGCTTTATTTAAATACATCAGAAATACAGAGATAAGGTTGAGACGGGAGCAGTTTGTAAAATACATTTTTTTAAATCTTTAAAGAGGTGTTAATATGTACGAAAACACCAAAAGAACGTACAAATATAGACAAAATACTTTTAAACCCATGTTTAGATAGTATTTTTTGCGGATTTTCTGCATAAATGTTGTCCCAACCTAGTGGACAAACACCTTCTTCTATACCTAGGGACCCAGTCTCGAATAAATGCAGGTAATCACGAGTCGAAGAGTTATCGGTTATGGAATGCATAACTGACAAAGAAAATGGAACCCGGCGTATGATATTTCCTATATCCCTCGTCTTCAGTCAAGTATTTTTCGACTTTACAAGGGTTCATTCCCAATACCCATTCCTTTTTTATATTTATCGCCTCGTTTTTAATGGTAAAAAAGAAAAGGTGGGCACTAATATGAGTTTATTCCTTAACTGCCATACTGCAAAATGCCTTTTTACTATATTAGAAAATGCATGCAAAGCAAACACCATTTCTTCCTCGTATATTCAAGAACACAATTTTCTCTCCTAAAAGGCTTCTATTAGGGGCCATGCGCCACTGCTAAGGAACTAAACGTATCCTCGTCCCACTTAAGTGGGAACGATATGCATAATGACTAAGACAGCAGTTTGATACTTTTCTTTGTGCATTCAATTAAAGCCTTAGACTTGCAGTACGGCGAGTGCTACAAGAAAAATACGGCAATTTGCGAAAAACCGGTAATCACTTGCAAAAAACAGCAAGACTGTAATACTGATTATCGTACAGCTTAATCTCAAGACTTTTCAGATACGTCCAGATACCGGCTTTTTAATCAGCTTTTTTCTGAAAATTTGCAAAAAGTAGATTCTGTAGCATAGCTTCTTAATTTAGTCTCTAAATTGACGAAAAACTTTGAAACCTACCAAGTGCTTCACTCGAATTCAAGGTTTCCAAACTGCATGTTGTGTACATCCCCTTTGAGGAAATATAAGTATTTGCCTACGGTTTCAGGAATAGGTCATAAAGTCCTCATAAAATTTTGCAATAGATGTAGGTCATGCTGTATGCATTATAAGCAACATTAATAAATTCACGAATACGATGTATTATGAATGAACACCTCACAATCGTAAAAAAATCTTATAATTAGAATTTTTTTCTACACCAGAAAGATACGCTTTCTTTGAGTATAAAATTCAAAGAATGCGTAATTTGCTGCAAAACTAGTACAAGAAAGAATATTTTCCTCCGTGGTTTCTATAAAATATATTTGAATTTAAAAAGGCAGTCAAAATCAATGATAAAATGTGCCATTTTTCAGAACCTGCTTTTTGTAAGCGGTCAGAATGAAGCCCATTAAAATGACGGCATCTGGAAGTGTCTGAAAGGACTCGAGATTAGGCTGCAAGTACTACAATTCTACTTAATGTTGGTTTGCGAATGATTACCAGTCTTCCGCAAATTGCGTCATTTTGCTTGCAGCATTCGCCAGATCTTTTGTGGGGTCTAAATTTTTCGTTCTGCATTAATTTTAAGAGAAACACTACTGGTATACAGCATTCGCAGCTGGCGGTTCATCACATTAGGGTCGAGTAGTAAAAGAAAATGCCTTTATGAACACTATTAAGGTACTTAGATACCCGGAGAGCGTATCTGCCTAACAGAGCCTACTGCTGATATTTTTACGTCCTTGAGCAGGTGCAGTGGATTCCGTAGGAGGGCTGCGTCGCGGCT